CCTCATCCCCGACATTCTCTGATCTCGAGAAAGCCTGCCTATAAGCAAATGCTTTGCTGTCCTGGCCTCAGCCCCCAATATCCACAGTGGCTGTCTGAGTGGAAAGCAAATTGAAATCTAGGAGCAGGAGACATGCAGTAAATGTTTTTAAACTGTGATTCTTGATCTGGACAAGAATTCAGGTGCTCGCTGAGGCGGGACGTGGCGTGGAGTGTGCGCTGATTCTTCCTACTAGGGGTAATATTGTGCACTAAGTTGCTTTATCCTTGTCATTTTTGGAGAGATACAAATGTAATAGAAATAAGGAGGATTTTTTTTCTTAATTTTTACATTCATGGTGGGTGCAAATGCACCTGAAACAGCTCAGAGTGAAAATGTGTTTGCAGTGCTGTCTTATTCTGGAGGCAGCCTAGTTAAGAAGTTATATGGAGGGCAATATAATTATAAAGCTCTTTTTATAAAAAATTGTCTGATTAGGGAAATGGCAAGACCTAAATAAGAAACAGGGTGGGGTCACCTAGACAGGCTTCAGCAGATGAGTGCATGTGCTGCTCAGGGCCTCTCCACAGGCTGACCTGGTGGATCTAAACTGATCTATGTTCTACTCATGTCAGTCAAGAGTAGAAACTATTTCAAGGTATATCAAACCTACCTGAGAGCACAGCAGTCATCTGAGACTGCTGGCCTGAATTCCCATGGCCCAGACGCAGGTTGCTGCCCTCACTGCTCCCTGGGGCCACTCAGGCTGGCCACAGCCCTGGCCAGTCCATACAAGGGGCACCTTTGTAGTGCTGGGGTCTGAGTTCAGACTAAGACCATTCCTCAGACCTTGGTGCACGCCTCTTCATGTGTGAACCTGGCTTCGTGTGTGGGCTGGTGTAGCCACAAGCCCTGTGGTCGCCAGCCCTGAGAACGAGGGGAGAAAAGGCGGGTTATTTGGAGGGAATATGGATTCTAGAGCGAGCAGCTAGGGACCAAAGCGCGGGTCTGCTCCGGGGACTGTGGGGCACTGAGCCGTCGCGAAGCTCCCCGGGGCTCTGGAAGGGGTGTGTGGCCACGGCGACTTCCAGCTCCACCAGGGAGCTCCCCGCTCCACTCTGCCTCTCTCAAGTAGGCGGTTAAGCAACAGAGTTAGTTTGCTTTTGGGATTAAAAAAAAGTTACTTGTTCAGGGAATTTTCTTTCTTTCCATGTTAACACAGTTTGCACTTTGTATTGCAGGTGCCCCACGCCTGGCTGCGACGGCTCGGGACATATCACCGGCAATTACGCTTCTCATAGGAGGTAAGTGGAGATGCTGCTTCTCTCTCCAAAGCGCTGTTTCTCACCGAAATGACAGGAATGGCGCTCGCTGCAGGCGCCAAGACTTGCCCAGTTTGACACCACGGGCAAAATTCAGGATCTAAAGCCCCTTAGCACCAGAAAGCAGTGGCGTCTTCATTGGAGCTTCACTTAGAAAGCAACCCCTCCATTTCCAGGGCCACCGGCTCCTCTCAGGACATCTCACGTGCAGTGCACGGGGCCCCGCTGAGAAACAGTCCTAGTCACCCAGCAGCGCTTCTTCCTAAATTGGAAGAGTAAAGGAAATAAAACAGTATCTGCTATAGATCCCTGAGAGCAGCCATCAGGAGACACGCATTCCAATGCCATGAGAGTTGGTCTTTTAAATCTTTAGAGTGGACCCAGAGCTGCAGGTATTCTAAGCAGGCCTCAGCATGTACAGTTATCCCCAGCAGGCGTCAGTAGAGCTCAGAGCTGCAGAAGTGCTTATGTCACAAAGTCTAGGCACTGTCACTCCCAAGGAGAGGGTAGTGTCTAAAACATAATACAGAGACTTGGTCCTGTGAGATAACAAACTCTCTATCCTACTTGACATTCAGTAAATACTGAATGAACATGGATTTAGGACAGGCACTGTTTAGCTGAGAATTGAAAGAAATGGTGGAACTATTAGAGAACAAGTTTGCCAGTTGTTAAAGATGGTACATGAGGACTATTCGCGGGGGAGTGGGCGTGGCAAGGGCTGTGGGGAGACTGGGCTCAACTCCGACGCTAATGAGGCCAGGTGGGAATTTATAACAGAGGAGTTGTACCAAGGTTGGGGTCAGTGGATAGAAAAGTCCCCACGGGAAGCATCCAGGAGAAGGGATTTCTGGCCAAATGGACTTGATGGGGTCACTGCTGACAGCCGGCCAGGGTGGAAGGATATCCAAAGACCCTGAGGATGCTTTTCTATCCACTGGGCTCAACTCCGATGCTAATGAGGCCAGGTGGGAATTTACAACCGAGGAGTTGTACCAAGGTTGGGGTCAGTGGGGAATTTTTCTTAAACTGACTTAGAAGGATTCTTGCTCACGCTGGATCCTACAAGGACAGAGAGGGAAGCCAAGGTCAGGTGCATTCTAGTGAAGGACTCAGAGGAGCTCAACTTCAAGTTTTGGTCAAGAAAAAGGCCCTTATGAATATATTGTCCACGCAAAGGTGAATCCGCTACACGCAATACATGTTTAAGTCATGCTTAGGTGTACCAACAGCAAATGCAAAGGTAAGGACAAGAATATTCTGAAAGACCGATTTAAAGGAAGTCTCCCAGTATGGGAAGCAGTCCTGCATCTATCAAAAAATAAGCTAAGCTGTAAGACGGCCGCTGCCTTTCGTCTCTCTAAGTTTTAGATTATGAAGTAGGCAGTCCAGAAGCAGGTGAGGCCTGCTGCTTTAACATATTGCTTGCAAGAAAAAAGAAAGAGAGAAAAGAAGGAAGGGAAGGAAAGAAAAGGGGAAGAAAGGGGAGGGGAGGGAGAAGAGGGGGAGGGGAGAGGGAGGAAAGGATGGGGGGTGGGGGGAGAGGGAGGAAAGGACGGGGGTTGGGGGAGAGGGAGGAAAGGATGGGGGGTGGGGGAGAGGGAGGAAAGGGGGGTGGGGAGAGAGGGAGGAAAGGATGGGGGGTGGGGGGAGAGGGAGGAAAGGATGGGGGGGGGGGGGAGAGGGAGGAAAGGA